CTTGCAAGTGGCTCCCAGGGAGCGAACCTGTTGCTTTGTGCCTCAGAATTCCGGCTGCAGTGTGGCGCGTTCGGGAAAGCGTTCGGCGAGCCCTGCTGTTTGCCAGCGCCGGCTGTTTCAGATGAGGGCTGAGAATAAACTGTTCGTGGTTCGAGTCTGCAATTGGGGTATTGATGCTTGCAGGAAGAAATGATAAAACGTTGTGCCTAAGCCTAACTGTCTTGTCCTTTGTGGTCAGAACCTGGAGTGATTGGAACGTTTCCTTAGCCCAGTGGGACTGCTCTGTCCGTAGGAAAGGCCGTGAGCTTTGAGCTGGTTCTTTGGAACTGCTGTTGTCGGAGCTTGCCGGGTGGGAGCAGTGGGAAGGGAGCTGGAATGGGGACTAGCGATACAGTCTCTGTCACAGTTGAAACATAAACCCGGTCAAGTGCACGTCCTTCTGGAAGGTGGCTTCTGCTGTCAGGAAATGGTCTGTAAGAAAGCTGACTCAGGACTTGACTGGATGTGTGTCTGAGGTTGACTTCTTCTCTTTTCCTTTCCAGGGCAAACGCACCAAAATTGAACTTTGGAAGCAGCACTGCAACCCCAGCTACTGGCACCACGGGGGGCTTTGGATTTGGTAGCTCAGTACCAACCAGCGCGCCCTCGAGTCAAGCAGCAGCCGCCCCTTCTGGCTTTGTGTTTGGATCTGCTGGCACCACCACTACCACCAGCACCACCACCGCTCAGTCTGGGACAACTGGAGGGTTTACTTTTTCCAGTGGTAGCACAACTCAGGCCGGAACAGCCAGCTTTGGCATCGACACTGCAGCTCCGCAAGCAGCACCCACGGGGTTGACCTTTGGAACAGCCCCTGCAGCTGCTGCCACCACTGCTGCCACCGTGGGAGCTGCAACCCAGTCAACAGCCCCCTTCAGCCTCGGGAGCCAGTCGGCAGGTGAGTGCCTGGGCTTGGAACGGCAGCTGGAGTCAGGAAGCCTGTCAGCATGGAGGGCAACTGGGGATGGTGTGGAGGCTCTGCAGCTTCTTGCTTCTGCGGGCGTGAAGCGAAGCGAGCGGCTAGAGTCAGTGGTTTTTCCGATACGGATGTCCCTGGGGTCTCCAGTGATGAGTAACAAATCGCTCTTCAGCCTTTGGCACGCTGTTTTTATGGGAAGTCGATGACTCCAACCTCCTATGTTATTGAACTTGTATGGATCATTTATTTTCTTGAGGCCAGCAGATAATACATCTAGAATCCCCCATCCATTGGGATCCTTGCCGATGTGCCTGAATCCACTTGTTTCTTCCCATTACAGCAATTGGCAGAGTTTGAACATGTACTTAAATGAGCTAGTGAGATTGCCTCTTGTCTAGGCCCGTCTGGCCAAAAAAAGCCTGTATTTGTTGGAGTTTCTCAGGACAGCACCTTGGTCTGGCTGATTTTTGTAATTAACCACTGTCTGTCTTCCCAGCAGCAGGAACGTGGCCCCTCCTGCAGAGTCTGGCAAAAGTTCATTTTGCAGCTTTTGATTTATTGTTGGTGACAGCGCAGGCCTGGGAGGGAAGGCCATCAGCTCTGGGGTGAGGGCGATGTTCATCTGTGTTAGAACCATTCTTGAAAGTCTGTGTAGGTAGCGAGCTTGTTAGCCCTAGCTAATTTCCTGGGTAACGCAGAGTAGTTGTTACACTGAATATTGGTGTTTCTCTTGTTGCTTCTACCTTGACGGTCGCTGTGATCAGCAGGAGCTACAGTGTCTCCATAGTAAAAGGTGCGTCTTTTCCTTGTGCTCCTCATTCCAGGTCTAAACTTTGGGTCACTGCCTTCAACAGCAGCTACTTGTGCCCCCACGGCAACCCTGACTGCTGCTACCAGCCAGGGACCCGCTCTGTCCTTTGGAACCAAACTTGGAGGTAGGAAGTGGTTTCAGGACATAATTACTCAAGACTTTGTGAATCTGCTGTCCTTCTGGGAGTAGTTTTCTGAAGCGGAGTCTGGGAATGGGCGAGGAGTGTTTGTTACTGTGAATTTGCAACAGCATCAGTAGTCTGTGAACAGTTCATGCAGCCATTGAACTTGTGTTCTGTATTTTTTATCGTGTCGCACGTACCAAATTGTGTTTTGTGCTTGTTGCGGGAGCGTAGTGGAAGGGAACCACAGGTTTAAAGGGTATATTGGAAAAGAGAGTTGAGGTAGAATGAGAGACAGAAATAGTTTAAAGCTCTTACATCCATAAAAAACCTGGTGTAGATGGGCAAATTTGTGTTGCCTTCTCAGCACGATTGTACAAGGTGTGTGCTTTTTCTGTTTGTAGTAACATCCACAGCTGCCACAACTGCATCTACCACCACAGCCTCTGTTCTTGGTTCAACGGGGCCTACGTTGTTTGCATCTGTAGTGAGCTCTTCAGCACCCACGTCGACCACCACCACGGGCCTCTCCCGTAAGTCACAGCATACAGATTTTATCTGATGAGGGATGGATGAACAGCGTGGTTGGTGCTGCCTCTCAGTAGTGGAGCTGTCGATGCTGGGGGAGAATTCCAAAGGCCAGCTCTTTTCACTGTTTGCCACCCTCGTTCTTTGTGATTTCTGGTAGACTGTCTTCAGTGGTGAGGCACGGAGGGTTTTGTTCAAAGTAAAGCCCGCTTTGGATTCAGAGTGGGCAAGCAGCATGTGGCAGTTTTGGCTGTACGTGAGTTTCTTGGTTTCTCTGTCTGGGAAGTGTCGCCACAACTGAGCTTTCTAGTGACATTTTAGCTGCTTTCTTCCAGGCTCCAGGGCCTCGAGTCTGGTTGCGTCTGCCTGTGGCTCTTGGGGTAGGTGTTGGCACTTCGTTAAGAACAGTGGCCTGTGACAGTGGAGATGCCGTGTGCTAAGCACAAGTATTCACACAGGTGCATGTTTGCAAGTTCCTCTGGCAATAACTGGCAAATTTCTCCTGGCAAAATTATTTGTATGGCGGGAAATAGTGTTTGCTTTCTGACAGCTTTAAGGCAGTAGCCAAGTTCTGATCCTGGTTAATACAAGTAAAGACCAGATGGAGGTGGGTGAGCAGGCAGGGTAGAGCTTTTCCATGGGGTACTGCCTTTAATGGCTTACGCAAACTCTTAACGTTGCCTTCTGTCTACAGTTGGTGCCCCTTCCACTGGGACAGTCAGTCTTGGAACGCTTGGGTTTGGATTAAAAGTTCCTGGAACAACAGCTGCTGCAACAAGCACTACCACTGGTAAGGACTAGCTGCTGTGGAAGTGGCTGAAGATAAGGAAGGCTGACTTCAGTACTCTGAGGAGGCGTAAAAGGCCACGCTGGTGTAGCAGCACAGCAGTTGTGATTTCTAATGCCCTCCAGCAACTGAAAATAACACAGTATTTCTTTCTCTGATCCTCATTTTCCATCTCCCCAAATGCACGGTTACTTATGAGAGCCCTTCTGTGGACACCCATCCTGCTTTGGGTGAAGGAAAGCCCATAGGCTTTGATGTTCTGGTCTGGAGCACGTAAAGTAAATAGATGAGCTGCTCCTTCTCTAACCTGCCTGTGTAGGGGGGGAATTGCTCTAAGAGGTGAGGGAGAGATGTCCCAATGGCGGAAGGGGGAAGCCAAAGACTTGTGGGGAGTGTTAAGGAGAGATGTTTTATATTTCAGTTCTGCCCCATTGGTCTGTTTCTTCCACATTACAAGTTTCACAGTGTAGGATTTCTTTTGCTTCTCTGCCAAAAAAAAAAAAAAAAGCAGAGGTAAGTGCTGTATTGAAGTGGCGAACCTGCAGTGGAATTTTCTGCTGAACAGGGTTGATGTTCAGGACTGAACATCCTTTTCCAGATGCAGTTACAGGTCAGTTTTCAGTGTGATAACATGGATGGTGCTCAGCTCTCAAGGTCTTTCTAAAGCTTGTTTTCGGAGTGACTGTGAAGAATTTGAGTTCAGTGCCCAGGAGTGCCTTGTGACTGGCTGAGAGAACTATCTGATAGATGCTCTTAGCTCTGTGCAAACACAGAATTCTCATCTTCTGCCAAGATGTAGGAGAGGAACTGGGTGTGCTGGTAGTTATTGGTCCTAGTGTTAAAACACGAGGAGATTGAGAGGTGTGTGGGTTAACGCTGTGTTTCTTTGCATAATGCGTGGGCCAAGTGCAGGCTGCCAGTGCAAAGTTTTACTAGAACCACTGGTTAGGCGTTCTCAGTCCACTACTCTTGTGTCCAGCTGCACTTCTTTCTCTTCTGGGCAGACGTGGGATTTGCTTTTTGTCCCTTCAAAGGGACCTATTTGAGCTCATACAGCACTGTGCTTAGGAGTGCATATTGGAGCTCTTCTGGATTTGTTGGAGAGCAGATGTGTCCTCTCCTGTTGCTTGACTTGAATCTCTCCTTTCAGGCACTACTTCTGCTTCTGGCTTTGCTTTGAATCTGAAGCCATTAACTACGACTGGTGCTATTGGAGCTGGGACTTCCACAACTGCCATAACCACAACAACCCCCAGGTGAGTATTTTGTTGTAACTGAGTGTTTCTCGATTGGTGCAAGAGGCAGTATTAATGTTGGCATCTGGTGGAGGAAGGGGAAATGAGTGCTGTGGTGTTTATATTTTGGTTTTTGATCTTGTGTTGTGTATTGTCTGGCGCTTCCTTTCAGTGCGCCTCCAGTGATGACTTATGCCCAGTTGGAAAGTTTGATAAACAAGTGGAGTCTGGAACTGGAAGACCAAGAGAAACACTTTCTCCATCAAGCTACGCAAGTGAATGCCTGGGATCAGACACTGATAGAGAATGGGGAGAAGGTAAGGTGACATCCAGTGTAACCTGGGGTGGCTTGCTTAGATCCTTAAAGCCTTCAGTGTTACTGATGCAGCGAGCCATCTAGTGGGACTTTCTACTTGTGAGAAAAATAGATGTGAATTATTTCTGTGAGCTTTTGAAAGACTGGATGTTTGTCTGTTCTGGTCTACAGGCATTGAAGCTTGGCAGTCTGTTCTGTAAGTTTACACGATGATAACAAGTTATTTTGGGAATAATTAGGGAAAGCGAGAGGGAAATTGACAACTTCCATAATCTGGTTGTGACAGAGCTGAAAGATGAAGTAGAGAGGTTAAAGGGGATCAGGGAACGTGAGGAATTAGGGGACAGGGAGCAATGGCACAAGGTCCCTGCTCGGCGTGGCAAGCGCAATTGCCTGGCAATTCCCTCGCCCCCCCCCAGGTGTCCTTATGTAACAGGTACAGTGCTCTGCAAGGAGAACTGGATGACAGGGAGGGTGATGGTTGTCCCTGCTTGGAGATGTCTCCAAAGCCGGGTTGGACTGCTGTTGGCATTAAAACCTCATCAAAAGAGGAAAATATAGACGAGGGCCCATGCAGAGGGTTGCCTAAGGTGAGTCAGTCCGCCCCATGATTTCTGACTGCCTCTGTTAAAAGAAAAAGGAAGATAATTGTCGTAGGTGATTCCCTTCTGCAGGGAACAGAGGGGCCAATATGTCGACCGGACCCAACCCACAGGGAAGTCTGCTGCCTCCCTGGGGCCCGGGTCAGGGATGTCACTAGGAAACTCCCTGGTCTGGTACGGCCCTCTGATTATTATCCATTACTGGTAATGCAGGTCGGAACTGATGAGGTAACAGAGAGAAGTCTAAAGGCCATCAAAAGGGACTTTAGGGCATTGGGGCGATTGGTCGAAGGGTCAGGAGCCCAGGTAGTGTTTTCTTCAATCCCTTTAGTGGCAGGAAAGAATATAGAAAGGAACAAAAAACCAGACTTGGTTAACAGATGGCTCAGAGGCTGGTGCCACCGACGGAAATTTGGTTTCTTTGATCATGGGGAGGCTTTCCCTGAACCAGGTCTGATGGCACCGGATGGGACTTGCCTTTCTCAGAGGGGAACGAGGGTCTTAGCGCAAAAGCTAGCAGGGCTCATTGACAGGGCTTTAAACTAGATTTGAAGGGGAAGGGGGGGAATATCAAGAATCGTAAAGATATGCTGGAAGTACCTGTGGAACAGAAGAAGGGAATTCCAGCTGCTCCAGCCAGGAAGTCAGATTCATCTGGGGCCCAACTTAAATGCCTTTATGCCAATGCGCGCAGCATGGGGAATAAGCAAGAGGAGTTAGAAG